TTGGCTATGATGTTCCTGGGAATTTTCATTTGGGAATTTCCTTCAGGAGATGACTGGTGTAACCTTGCCATTCCACTTTATCTTCTGGTTCTAAGGGATCTGGGCAGTTTTTGTTAATGATTTCTTGAAATAGGACTGTCCAGGCTTTTTATTTATTTATTTTGGCAAGGTACTCAGTCCAGTTATTCTTAAATATTTTCTTTTGGATCTGTTTTCCAGGTAAGTTGCTTTTCCTATGAGGTCACTTACATTTTCTTCTATTTTTTCCAGTGTTTTCACTTTAACATTTCTTGTTGCCTCATGAGGTCATTGGCTTCTATTTGGTCCATTCTAATTTTCAGGCAGTTCGTTGCTTGAGCAAGGTTTTGTACCTCTTACACCAAACAGTTAATTCCTTCTTTCTTCTATAGCTCCAGTTTCTTATATGATTTTTCTCAAGTGCTCTCATTCCATTTGTGAAAACATTTTATAACTCTTTTTAAACTCTTGCTTCATCTCTTTGAGGAATTCTAGTTGAATTTGTGCCCAGGCTGTGTTTTTCTTTGAAGCAATGCTTATATATGTTTTGAAGTCACTCTCATCTTTTGGTTTTGTGTGTGGAAGCTTCCCTTCTACCATAATAGCTTTTAATGGCAGGATTCTGTTTGTTTGCATATTCTTCTGGCCTCCTTCTCCTCCTTCGTCCCCATCCCCCAGCTCTGTAAGTCTCTGACTTGGATTTGGGTTTGAGCAAGAGTCCCTATCAACCAGCTGAAAAGCTCTGTTGGTTCAGAGTGGAAGAATTTAGGCTCCTCTTTCACCTGGGATTCCTGCCTTGATTATTACTCTACTGGCTGGGTCAGATGCTAGAAATGCGATCTTACTCTGTGCCTCCAATCTGAGCCACACTGCTGCTACTTGCAGCTTTTGAACTTCCTGGATATCTCCATAGGATTTGTCAGGTGCATTTTTTTAGATCTATTGGCAGGGGGTTTGTGGAGGAGAGCTCAGCCATACAGGTTCCTACCACTCTGCCGTTCTGGCTCCCATCTAAGATAAAATTTATTCTCCCAGTTCTTTGGGTGGTACTTTTCTTTCTAGTTGCTTTGTCCGTCAATGATGTTATTGTTGCACACAAAAAAAAGAAAGTTAGATTTGGAGTCTGAAAACCTGGGGTTGAACATGACGTGCTGTAAGACTGCACAGCTCATCCCATCTCTCTAGGCTTCAGCTTCCTCATCTATAAAGTGAGGGATTTGTACTAGATGCTTAAGGTCCCTTCCAGTTCCAAACTCCATAAAGGAAGTGGATGAGGAATTGGCTGCCATTCACAGTTCTAATATTTATTAAGTACAAAGGAAAAGGTGAAAAGTCAGAGGTAGGGGGCAGCTAAGTGGCGAAGTGGATAGAGCACCAGCCCTGGAGTCAGGAAGACCTGAGTTCAAATCCGGCCTCAGACCAAACACTTGACACTTACTAGCTGTGTGACCCTGGGCATGTGACTTAAGCCCAATTACCTAATAAATTAAAAAATAAATGAAAAAGAAAAGTCAGAGGTATGAATAGCTCAACTGCATATTAAGAAGCCAATAAAGACAATGAATTTGTCTCTAGAGTGGTGTTTCTACCTCGGTCCCTAGCTGCTCATCTGCATAAGACCCCAGGAATAGTCTAAGAAGTGTAATTGATACCACCAGATCTGATCAACATAAAGGAAAGTAGAGAATCTTTACTAAAGGAACTTGCTTTGAATCTAAAATGACTGTGATACAGGAGAAGTTAGTTCACTCCCACCTCATCCATGGAGGTAATAAACCTCAGAGTTAACACACTCAGGGAGTCAAAGAGAAGAGGCTTTTCTGCCAATCTCATGGCATAGTGCCAAATGAGAACAATGTAACACTCCTACTGAAGAGACTGCAGTACTGACCAGCTGAACCAGGGGCTGAAGACAGTGAAAGACTGCAGCTCTCCATCAAAGAATGAACCCAGGAATTTCAGAGGATCCAGCAGATCTCCAGCAGAGACCGAGCTGAGAAGAGCCAGGCAGTCTGGCAAGCAGATGTGCCCAGCAGCCAAGTAACCCGCCCTACTGACCGATGATGAAGCCTGGTAAGGAACAGCTTAGCACTTTGACCCAGCCCAGTAGTAGGTAGCCCCAACCAGCCAAAAACACTACAACCTGCTGCAGTAAATTTAATAAAGGCACAGTTTGAGGCACAGATTCCCAAGTAAAATCAGTTTATTAACAGTGGTGGGTATGGCTGGCAACAAAATGGGTGGACAGCCACCTCAGCGAGGGCTGACAGGGTCTTTTAACCTAGCTAGCTGTGTCCTCCTTCTGATTGGCCTGACAGTTTATCATTTGGACCTCCCCTGACAAAGGTAAAACAATCCCAACCCCTAGGCATTTTAATGAGGAGGTGGGTTAAGAATCGCTTCAGCTCCTCCCCAATACCTCCTGCTGGGTGATGATAGTAATTCTCAGGTGATAGGATTAGTCTGCACACCGAGGTGTAATCTGCACCTTGCTTAGACTGAAACAACTTAATTGTGAATCAAATTGAATTTGAGTTAAGTGGGTGGTGGGTGAGGTTACAAAGGTCCACAACACAAGGGTGGAGACTCAATTCACAATAGAACTGAGCTGAGAATGGAGGTTAATTATAAGACAAAAGCTCAGACTTCAGGAAAGTTTGTCCAGAAAGTAGGGGAATGGAAGTGGAGGTTGAAGTCCCACTCATAGGGAATGGGAGACCACACTAAAAATAGAATTAAAAACAATTTTCAATTTCTCACCCTATGAGGAATGCTCCTGGGTTCATTCCTGAATGGCTTACCCAACAGAGATGTCATGTCCTGCAAGGAGCCAGCCTAGCAGAGCCACTTACTGATCACTGATGATTTGCCCACAGAGAGAGCTTCATGAGAACCCTCTGAAGGAATGACATTGAGTTCCTTCAGTTATGGAGTTGTGACTTGCCTTGGCCATGAATGTTCCCTAGAAGTGTGCCTCCCAATCAGTGTACTGTAAAGTTCATGCCCACTTTTCACCCTGTGTGGGACAGAGCCCACTTATTCAAAATAAAAACAAAGACTTAGATACCTCGAAAGTAGAAAGGAGTTTATTGCTTTCTCGTGAGAAAGGGTACCACTCCTAGTTGCCATTGCCGGCCAGGAGAGTACGAGTTGGTTACTGAAAGGAAGCCCTATTTTATACCCTAACTCGAGCTCCTCCTCCCTAACCCTCTTCCCCTAATCCCATTGGCTGGGCTTTCAGGGGGCACAATCTATTCACGATTACAAAAGTTTGCCCAGAGACAAGAAAAGAAGGGAAGTTTTGCAAGGGCAAGTAGTTCAGGTTGGGGGTAGGGCTATTATTTTTGCTACGTGCTTAAAAACAGGGTCTGAACGGGGGAGGTTTTAGAAAGAACTATCAAGAACTATTGACCCTTTGAGGAGGTTTCACTTCTGAGAGATCATCTCTCACAACCCCATGTACTCAATGTGTACTTGTGGGAGAATGTGCCTTGGTTTGGGGGGAAATGCTTTGTAACTATTCCATTCGATAAACATTTTTAAAGTACCTGCTATGTGCCAGGCACAGTGCTACGTGCTAGAGATACAAGTTAGAAAAAGATAGTTCCTGCCGTCAAGGAGTTTGCCCCTAATGGGAGTGGGGGCGATGGTGGAATCGAATCCGGGGTGTGTAGCTGGTGGGAAATGGCTGGGCTGGAAGCGTGGGGTTTTTCGCTCCACACTCAAGTCAGAGGGGAAGAGCTACTACAGCTTCTGATGAGGGATGAATACCAAAGCTTAATTTTTGATACTTACACTTCACGAGGTATTTTGGGATTTGAGGGCTAGATTTTTTTCTTCCCTATTTATTCTATCATTTTTTTTCCCAAAAAGCTGGGACAATTCACTCTTTTGTCTTGTGTAGTTTCATTTATGATTTCTTGGAATATAGTTCTGGAAAACCAGGCTATGTTAAAGCCATAGAGCTACTTGCCTACACCTTTGAACCCAAACCACTCAGGCTTTCACTGACTGGCTAACAACAGGTCCCAGCCCAAGCTTCACATGCTCATGGTTTGGGTTTTGATGACTCAGGCTGAGTGCAAATAACAATTGTTTTCTGCTCTGGGCAGAAACTCTGAGTCTTCCCCTCCTAGACTGATTATTTTGGGAAGGCAAACTAAGCCATCTTCTGTCTCAATTCTTACTTAGCCTTTAACTACTGAATGGGCATTGCCTCAGACAAGCCGAGACCTGGGAAAAAACGGAGCTTAAAAAGACCAAGGTCTGCCAATGTATCTGGACCCTCGACAGTCGTCTTGACCTATGTCTTGAGATAACCACCAAAGTTGCTGCAATTTCTAGGGTGATAAGTATTGTTTTTCTAAGAGCTTTTTTTTTTTGGCCAGGCAATGGGTTAAGTGACTTGCCCAGGGTCACACAGCTAGTAAGTGTTATGTGTCTGAGGCCAAATTTGAACTCAGGTCCTCCTGAATCCAGGGCTGGTGCTGTATCCATGATAAGTATTGTTTTTGCTATGACATTTGAGTAAATCCTTTTCCTAAAAAACTGAGTCTACTGAGTGATTATTAGAAAGAAGTATACACACTGGGGTTCATGAGATAGTGTTAAAAGGATAGACACCCATGGGGTTACCTCTAGAAGCTTAGAGTAGAAACAACTCTACCTCTGGGGATCCAATCTAATGCCAGTGTGAGTTGCGAGGAGTGAACCCTGAGGGAGGTGTTACTTGTAGTCAAAGGATAATTTCCCTTATAAAACCATGCACTAAATATAATGCTCACAAATACATCCATACTAATAGTTCATTTGTAGGCATTATTGAGAGCACACAAAATACAGTGAATGTTTACGTCATGATATACAAATTTTTTACCATGTATATCTTTCCATGAGACATAAATTTAAATGTCTCCTAGTAGTGTTCACAAAATATTTCACATACTGTTCAGTATATAAACATATAAAATATTTATTGGCTATTTACACTTCCACTTTTAGGTAAATCATTGAACATCATATTATACATGGCTGCAAAAAACAAAAAACCCCAAAACCAACCAACAACACACACCTACATCAGATACCAGTGAAGAAAACAATATCACCCCAAACAGTATTTGTCAGCAGTCTGGACACTCTCGTTTCTTGACTTTTTTAAATTTTTTGCTTGTTTCCTGACGAATAGTATCATATTCTAATATGGCCAGCTCAGAAAGTCTCTGTAAATATTCTGGTGGTGCTCCAGTGAGAGGACTTCTAAAACTAAAACCTTAAAAAGAACACATAAAAACTCGAGACTTCAATCAGGCATGTATATGTGTGTGTGTGTGTGTGTGTACATATATGTGTATATATGTATATATACACATATATATTTATTTGACAAATCTAATTAATAAGTAAAATACTTGCTTCACAATTGAACTGAAATTATGTCTTCATAGAACACCCTGAAACAGAAATGCTACTACTTACCACCTAGCCAATAAGATCAATATAAAGAAAATGGTAAGACATTTTGAAAGGAATTATTAATTCATCATGGAGATTTTGTTATGTGCCCTTATTAAAGGTGACAGGGAGGACGGAAGGAATGCAAAAGGGAGGAGTGTGATTAGTATTAATAAATGGCAGAATTTCAGTAATACAAAACTAAAAGGAACAGTTATCTTTAGGGCAATCAGTAACTCACTGATAGTTTATTTTTTTTCACTCATTCTCTTGACCCTTTCTGGTCAACTTGGCTGGCTAAAGGAAGAAATAAAGTGGTACATGTTAAAGAGCCTAATAATTGAGATTATATTAACCATGCTCCTGTAGAATATGTACAAAAATACGACATTTTTCTACACTACCATCTGCAAAATCTTCAACAGCTCTAAAGTGCCAAGAATATTTTCCTTTAGTTTTCCTTAATCAACATATGAATTTTTTTAGTTTAATTTGGTAATGAGAGAAACTATTTTGTACCTGGTATCACAGTGGATAGAACACTGTATCTCGAGTCAGGAAGACATGAGTTCAAATCCAGCTTCAGACACTTGCTAGCTGTGTGACCCTGGTCAAGTCACTTAACCTCTGTCTCAGTTTTCTCAGTTACAAAATGGAGATAATAAAAGCATCTCATAGTTGTTGTGAGGGTAAAATAAAATAATTTGTAAAGAATTTTGTAAACCTTAAGGAACTACATTAATGTTAGCCATCATCATCTGATTCATGGAGAAACTGGTAACTGAAGTAGAAATGAAAGGAAAGCAGGATAGGGAGTTTACCTTTTAAAAAGAATTCATAATAGAAATGAGCTGAAAAGCTGGACATAATCTCATATACATCCTAGATTTTAGGAAAACAGACAACAAAGCATTTAAAGTAAAAGGACAAACCAATGTTCTAAATTTCTACTGAGGAAGTTAGCCCCAAAGGGATAGGAATGATACTTGAAGACAGGATAGTTACTAGGACTGCAATTATCATTTGTACAGGGAACACCCAGATAAGCAAACTCCCTCTACCAGTACAGGTAAGCAACTGCTGTACAATTTATAGCCTTAGAGAGCTGTCTAAAGCACTGCTTTGTAAAGTGACTTGTCAGGGTCATACAGGCAAGTATGGATCAGAGGCAGGACTTGAATCCAGGTGTTGCTGATTCTGAGGTCAGCTTTCCAAGCATCCCACCAAGGCTGCCTCTCATGTTTGAGGAGTTTGCAGAAATTATCCCAATGGGAAAGAAAAAGGAAGAGAGGCAGGGTGGCAAAGTTAAAGAGACCAATATGCATAAATAAGGAACTCATAGTCTCACAGTTTTTTGAAGAAATTTATTGAAGATGGAAGAAAGGGCAAGTAAATGAGGAAGAACACAAAAAAGCATCCCAGTCTTATGAGCATATGGAGATTGAAAACTGAAAACGAGCTGAAGCTGTCAAGTAATACTCAAGAAAATAGGATTTTTTTAGCTATACAGGAACAGGAGGTGGGTCAAAGAAGGGACAGGGCAGCTTGAATAAACAGGATGATGATGATAAATGATGATGAGGAGGCTGAAATACCCAACTTTTGTCTTGCTTCTCTTTTCTCTGTCAATACTACTAAAAAAAGTCTATATATATTATCTCATTTGAGCCTGAAAACAACACAGCAAGAAATGTACAGCTAGTAAGTGTCAGTGGATTTGTACTGAGATTTAAATCTTAAACTAAATCTCAGTACAAATCCTCTTGACACTTAATAGCTATATAACTATGGACAAGTCACTTATATTCTTTGAGTTTCATTTTCCTCATATTTAAAATGAGATAATACCTGTAAGCTAGGTGGCATAATGGATAGGGCATAATGAGCCTGGTGTCAGGAAGATTCATCTTCATGAGTTCAAATCTAGCTTCATACACTTATTAGCTGTGTGACCCTGGGCAAGTCATTTGACCCTGTTTGCCTCAATTTTCTCATCTGTAAAATGAGCTGGAGAAGGAAATGGCAAACCACTCCAGTATCTTTGACAAGAAAACCCCAAATGGGGTCACAAAGAGTCAGATACAACTGAAAAATGACCAAACAACAACAATTCTTAACTTCAAATCCAGCCCCTGAAGAATGGTCTTTGACTGTTAACAATGAGGTGAAGGTGAAGACATGAAGAGATGGTAGGAGAGCATCAGACCAGACACTTGACACTAGCTGTGTGACCCTGTGCAAGACATTTAACCCCAACTGCCTTGCAAAAAAAAAAAAAAGAGAGAGAGAGATGGTCAGGGAACTTGAGCAGCTATTGATGAGTTTAAGTTACTAAACCTAGGTAGACTACATCCTAAAGCAGAGATGTCAAACACAGGGTCCACAGTACGCTTTAGTGTAGCCTAAACCAGATTAAAATGTAATTGGGAAATATTTAACAAAATAAGAATACAATAAAACACAGATAATATTACATATGAAAACTACACTGATATGTGCCCTGATGGATCTTTATGCATGGTTTAGTGGCCTCTGTTTCTATTTAAATTTGATACCACTGGCCTAGAGTACCAAGAAAGGGCTGACAAATGTGATCACTAAGCCATTCTTTTTATTTTTCTTTAAATTTTTAATCATATTCATTTTGGAATATATCACTCCCACCACCCCATTAGCCGGCCATTTTAACAGAAAAGAAAAAAGAAAAAAAAAGTCCCACAAAGCTAACCAAAACTTCAGCTGAGTCTGGAACTATCTGCAAGTTCCACATCCAAAATCCCACACTTCTTCAATGAAGCATTGTCTCATCTCTTCTGATGAACCACGGTTGGTGATCTTTGAAAAAGTTTGGAGAGTGGAACAGATGCCACAGGATGGAGAAAAGCAAAAGTTCCTTTCTGGAGAATAGAAGACCTTGGGGGTATTTTTATCTTATGCTGAGCACCTCATAGTACAACACTTATCACAGAGTAGGCACTCATAAATGCTTGTGGAATTGAATTTAAATGTAACCTCAATTTTTTTTTTGTTTTTGGCTAGGCAATGGGGATTAAGTGACTTGCCCAGGGTCATACAGCTAGTAAGTGGTATGTGTCTGAGGCTGGATTTGAACTCAGGTCCTCCTGAATCCAGAGCCAGTGCTCTTTCCACTGAGCCACCTAGCTGCCCCAGTGTAACCTCAATTTTCAAAAAGGGAAGAGGATATGGTCTGGAAACTATGGATTTCACTTTAATTCTTGACAAAATTCTAGAATATATTGTTAAGTGAATGACCAATAATTTAGAAATGGAAGTGACAATCACTAAAGTCAGAAAAGCTTTATCAAGGTGGGGCCATACCAGATGAACTGCATTTCCTTTTTTGAGAGGGTAACTAAACGGGTAGATGAGAGGAGGGCTTTAGAAACAATATACATCAATTTCAGTAAAACATTTGACAAATTTTCTCATGCTATATTTGTGGACAAAATGGAGAGCTGTGATATAGTGAGGTTGATTTGGAACTAGATGAATGATAAGACCAAAAAAAGTAATAGGTTTATGTCAATTTGGAGAGTGGCCCCTAATGGAGTGTCCCAGGCATCTGTCCTTTCTCCCAGGCCTTTCAGAATTTTTTTCACTGATTTTGATGAAGGCATATATGTCATGCTTTTCAAATTTTTTCCCTAAATATGATCTGACCTATCTCCTACCAAAACACAGTGACTCAGCCAGAATCATAAGAAAAGCAATTCCTGGCTTAGGCAGATCAGTAAGTAGGTTCTTTGGCCAGATTATCAAGCAAACAGAAGACTCTTCCCTCAGAATATCAACCAGGGAGCTTTCAAAGGTCATGTTATTCCTTCCCAGGATTTGCACTCAGATCTTCCTGACTCCAGGCACTCCATTCACTGCCCTAAAGGTGAGGAGGAAGTACATTCCAGGCATAGGGGATAGCTAGTGTGAAGAAGAGAAACAAATATATCAGATGATGATTATCAAGAAGGCCACTGTGGCTTGACCAAAGAGTGCTGGAAGGGGAATTATGGATTATAATGCTGGAAAGGGAGACTGATCACCTAGGTTGGGATGGACTTCAAAAGCTAGGTCTGTATTTAAGGACACATTTGTCTTTGAATCCCCAGTACTTAACACAATAACAGGCACACAGTAGTAGTGGGTACTAAATAACTACCCAGGTGGTTCAACTGATCCTATCTAATCCTAGAGGTGGTAGGGACCACTGAATTTCCTGAGTAGGGGACTGAGGTCAGATCTTCACTCTGATGCTTATATATGTCATAAAGAGGACAGATGTAGTGAGGAAAGACTTGAGATAGGGAGACCAATTAAAAGGCTATTGTAATACTTCAGGAGAGAGGCAATGATGGCCTAAACTAAGGTGGTGATGTGAAACACAAATGAGAAGAGTCTGTGAGATACTGTAGAGAAATGGCAAATGTGTCAACTGGAGATGCTGAGTGTGAACCTGAGTGCCTGGAAGGATAAGGGTGCCCTGGACAGAAACAGGAAACTTTAGGAAAGTAGTGGGAATGGGTGTGTATGGGGTGGGGGGGAGAGGGGGTTGGGGGGGGATGGTTGGGGCGGGAGGGTGAGAATGAGTTCAGTTTTGGATGCTTTGAGATGCCAACAGGATATCTATTTTGAAATATCCAAAAATCAGTAGGAGATGCATGTCTTGAGTTGAGGAAAAAGACTAGAGTTAGATACATTGATTTGAGAGTCAGACACTTAAACATGAAAATTAAATTTATGGGAGCTGCTAAGATTAATGAGGGTAAAGAGAGAACAGAAGAGGGTAGAGCTTTGGGAATACCTACAATTAGGGGATGTGATATGGTTGATGATCCAGCAAATGAGAGTGAGGAATGATCAGACAGGTAAAAGCACAAGTATTTAGGAAGAAAAAGTGCTAAGCAGTGCAGAGAGGTTAAGAATGATAGAGAAATCCCTCCCAGATGGCTGCTTGAGAGGCAAACCATCCAGTTCCCTTACACAAACTCCAGCAAAACCTTGAAATTCACAGCAGACTGAATAATGATAAAAACATCCAATGAGAGTATACAGTGACTTGTACCATCCCAGAACTGCATGAAGTCAGCCAAAAGCCCAAGAGCAAAGCCAGTGCCAGTATAGGATGGCCTCCCAGCAGAACTAGAGAGGGCCGGGGCCATGCAAGGCTCTGTGTCCTGAGGCAGCAATAACTGAGAATTCCCCTGAGAAAGCCCTAGTGTGAGGATGCTGGAAGTGCTAGTGGTAGCCATAACCAGCATGTGCTAGGTGGTGCCAACTAGTGTGACTATGCAATGTTCAGAAGGAGATAGGTCAGGCCCAGGGCTCTTAAGTCTTCATGCTTAGTCCTGAGATGCCAGGGAGGAGGAGCCTGAAGATCCAGCACCCTAAATCTCAAAGATCCAGGTATACCTAACCCTGGGGGTAGAGGTAAGCTCAGGAACCCAGGACATGACCAAGCTGGGCCAACCATTTCACCTAAAAATGCAGCAGTGGATGTAACCTGACCCTAACATAAAGTCCTCATTTGTGGAGCCACCACAGCTGAGGAAATGAGTATATCAACTGACTAAAAAAAAAGTCTGCAAAACTAGATATTCCTCCAAAAGGAAAGAAAAACTACATTAAAAACTGTTGAGCAGAAACTCAAAGAAAAAAAGATTTTCTACAAGTCCTACAAGAATACATAGAAGAAATTAAGCAAAAGCTAAAAGAGTGAAATAAAAGCTTTTGAGGAAAGAACTGAAAGGACAATAAATAGCTTAGGACAGAAAACAGTTAACCTTTCCCAAGAAACGGACTTCCTGAAAACTAGAATAATAAAACAGAAATTAATAAAGCCATGAGATAGCAAGAAAAATTACAGCAAAATCAAAAGACAGAAAAAGTAGAAGAAAATGTAAGCTACATTATCGTTATATAAAAACAACTGATATGGAAAACAAGTCAAGGAAAGACTAATTTAAAAATTCTGTGCTCCCTGAAAACTATGGTTTTAAAAAACCCAGAAATTACATTTCTTTTCTTTTTTTGAAACTAGCTCTTCCTATCTCTCTCCCAGGCTACAAGTGTGGTAGCTGGCCACTCAGCCTGAATCCCACTGCTGATCAACATGGCAGCTTTGTATCTGCTCTGTTTCTGACCTGGGCTATTTGCCCCACCTTAAGAAGCCTGGTAACCCCCTACTCATAGGAGCTCACCATACTGGTGCTGGACTTAATGCCCACTTAGCTTAGCCCACTATACCTCAGAATTCCCAAGCTCAAGGGTTGCACCAGTCTCTGCCTCCCTAGCAGCCCGATTAGAGGAGTACATCAACCTCTCCACAAGTAACAGGATCACTTTTTCATCTCAGACTGAAATACATATGAGATTTCGTCAATGTGCTTGGTTCCTTCAAGGATGCAGATCAAACCCCTTCATGTCTGCCCATCCTTGTCCACACCCCCTCAGAAACTCTCAGAGGGAGTCGACCCAACATGCTGGGGCCTTTCATACTTTTTCTTGACATCACAAGGAAATCAGTGATGCAAACAGGCTCTCCATTATTTGCTCCTCATTTTTATTGTATGACTAGTTTCAATGTCTTTTTCTATGCATTTGATCATTCCCGAAACATTTTACCAAAAGTCTTCTCAGGCCAGATTTCTACAGGGATGATCTTTCTGACCCATCGGAGGTGGCTGTTCCAGCTCTGAGATAACTCAGAACTATGGTAGAAATATTAGGACTTCCAGAGAAAAGCTACAGAAAGTAATAGCAAGTTGTTGGAAGATACCGTAATTTCTCTAGAAATTATAAAAACACTAAGTGGAAACTAATATGTAACACACAGTATGACTATGAAGTAATGTGACTGTTTTAACAACCAAACCAGGACATCTAAATAACATTTCACCTTGAATATTCCCCCTCTGTTAGAATTGCCTCCACAATCCATGAGCAGCCGTTAACCTGACTACTTTGAGTGATGGTAAATCTTCATCCTTTGAGAGTAGGTTTGATTTTTGAAAAGAGTCACAAGTCATTCTCACCCAAATCAAGTGAATAATATTCAAACTGAATAAAATCATATTTTGGTCAAAAGTCAAGTTGTGAGTACAAAGCAATGAGATAGATTTTTTAAGAGTGTCTCTGAAGGCAATTTCAAAAAGGCACTCCAAAAATGTGTTGCATAATGGTAGCATCATTAGAATAATTTATAGGCTCTCAGAGTAACTACTTTGAAGGAGTCAGCACTTATGTAGATATACCAATCATATACAGGCCAATAAAAGCCACACTGACCTCCCTCTCCCCATCAAATCTAGCTCCCTGAGGGCAGCATACACTCATCATCTCAACAATGGTACAGCTATAATGGACAGATCAGAATGAGAATAAAAGTGGTGGTAAAGTAGGTGATGATAAAAATAAAGTATTGTTTTTTTAAAAAATTGTAAATATATTTCATATTATGGTTCTGTATAATTATTTTTCAGTATATATATATATATATATATATATATATCTCCTTATTTTTTACTTACTAAAGTGATTTTATTTTAGGGGTAAGGTGAATATTTAGATCAACACAGTTCTGGTTTGTTCATTAACAATGAATAAACACAATTAGTCTCTTTATAGTCACATTTTGCCATTAAAATATTAATACTTGGACCTTACAACTTCTTTAAATATTTTCAGCCATTTGAGATTGGGCTTGAGTTTGGCCTACTGGGAAACAGGCCAGATTTTGAGTGAAAATTCAAAGTAATTTTAAAATTAGCTTTTCCATTTTTATTTGTTAAAGCTTACTGATCTACAAAAGTGTTGACAGTCTTGTACACTTCTTTGACCTGTATATTGTTCTATCTAACTTTCCTGAGGTTATTCAGTCCAATCCCTTCATTGTAGAGACAAGAAAAATGAAGCTCAGAAGGTTTAGGTGACTAGCAAGTGTGACAGCCAAGTCTCAAATCAGATCTCCTGACTACTGACAGTTGCAGTGTTCTTTCCACTACACAAGACTGCCTCAAATAAAGGAAGTAAAACTGTATTGGAACCACTATGGGAGATCTAAGGGAGGTAGAAAATAATCATTCTGCTCACGTTTTGTTTTCTCCTGAAGTGATAACATGCTGCCTGTCTGGTTACTCTTCATTGACCTAAATAATGACACATAATAATCACTTTTATATATAAGCAGTGCTGTACACTATTGAATTAAATCCTTTAGAATTGAGCAGTCTGCTTAAAATGAAACTCATTTATATGTTTTGTAATGTTGTACTGAAATGATAGCTCTGAATTCTGGTTAAAAAAAAAAGTGGTACAATTAAGTGAGAACTGCAACTGGCCTCTGCCATCAAACATTTATCATACTGCAAGCTCCTCCCAAGAAAATGTAAGCTCCTGAGGGTAGAGACTGTTGTGGGTTTTTTTTTAATTATTTTTGTTTTATATACCCCACACCTCACACATGCTACAGGCTCTTAAAAATGCTTGTTGAATTAAATTAAATCATGATCATCACTGGCCATAAGATGAATCCTAGATATAAAGATATCAGGCCTCTAACAGTGGAGTTATCCTCATTATCTATCATTTAACTGGGTAGAATTTAATTAATAATGAACTCAACTAGTCTGAGTCTTGGTCTATCTGTCTGTCTTTCTTTCTCCTTAAATAAGTAATCTACCCCCTCAGTAAAGGTACTACATGGAAGAATGGAACTGCTCTAGTTTGGCAGAAACAGTTCTGTGCTTCAGATTGGAGAGATACAGGTACAAATCCTGCCTCTGAAATTTTTTAAGTTTTATATAATTATATAATTTTTAGTTATAGTTTTCATGATAGGAGTTACTCAATCTTTTTGAACCTCAGTTTCCTCATCTGTAAACTGAGTAATATAGCCTGCATCACTTTGTGAGGATCGAATAAGATAATGAATTTAAAGCATTTTGAATACCCTTAAAGTCAGCTATTAGCTGTGTTAATTCATATTATAAAATTATAGTACAAGATTTAGAACCAGAAGGGAACTTACAAATTATCTGGTATAAATCTTCCATTTTACTGATGAGGAAGCTGAGGCCCAAACAGTTTAAGTGAAATCTTCACATTCACACAGCAGAAAAAGAGAATCAGACTAGTTTCTCTAGAAACAGCTTTCCCAGTTTTATTATATCCTTGTTTATTTTATTTCTATGCTGTATTTTTTTGGATAGCTAGGTGGCACAGTGGATAAAGTGCCAGGCCTGAAGTCATGAAGATTCATCTTCCTGAATTCAAATCTAACCTCAGACACTTCCTAGCTGTGTGACCCTGGGCAAGTCACTTAATCCTGTTGTCCTCAGTTTCCTCATCTGTAAAATGAGCTGGAGCAGAAAATGGCAAAGTACTGCAGTATCTTTGACAAGAAAATCCCAAATGGAGTCACAGTTGGACATGATTGAAAAATGCTACATACATATATATAAAAAAATAATTTTTTTTTTTTTTGGTGAGGCACTTGGGGTTAGGTGACTTGCCCAGAGTCACACAGCTAGTGTGTGTCTGAGGCTGGATTTGAACTCAGGTCCTCCTGACTCCAGGGCCAGTGCTCTATCCACTGTGCCACCTAGCTGTTCCAAAATGCTATATTTTTAAACAAATGAATTCCACTATAATTACAACTAACTGATTTTAAATGAACACAAGAAAAAACTCTTATCTTTGTAATTTATAATAAATCTAACTCATGCCCCAGATATCTTCTCAAGAGCTACAAATTTATTTAAACTATACCACCAACGTGGTATCAGAGACTGACAGTCTGATTTAAAACATTACTTCCCTTTAAGATTACCATAACAATGTTAACATGAACATTACCTGAGAATTACTATAATGATCCCATTATCACTAAAGAGTACTTTTGCAAAAGATATTCTCTCAAGAGTTTCAAAAAATGAAGTATTCCTATTGTACGGCTAGGGGTCAAAATGAACACGAAATATATACTTTCCTGTTTTTTAAATTCTCTTCTTTTACAGACTGTTGCCCAGGGTTCTGAGATAAAGAAAATGATGGTAGGCAAGTGGGCATTTCTTCATTCAAGCTAAAATAAAATTAAAAAACATTTTAAAAGATATTTATATAACATGCCTACAACACAATTGTTCTTCATATTTCACAAATTTAAATGAGAGTATACAAGTCAATTTAGAATTCTAGAAAATAACTTCACAAACTAGAACAGATCCAAAACAAAGTACATAAAAACAGCATAAAATTCAGTGTAGTAGACTAAACGGACAAGATGCTTAATAAACGTTTGCTCAATGAACATATAATAAATGGACAAAGGGGGAGGACCTCTTTATAATTAGTACTCCATTTCCTCTGGCCCCCAAATAATTGTAACAGTGCTGTGTGTGCGTGGTTTGTCCTTCATCCTAGTTGGCGGGAAGCCTATCAAGTAAGGTTGTGCTACGAACTCAACCTTTGATTATTTCTTGGTTATTTTCTTGAAAATTAGTAAGAAAAGCTCAATGTCAGGGACTAAGGGACAGATTAATTTTAAGGCACCTTCCTTAAGGAACAACTGTGGTTTCTTGATGAATTGGTTCTTTACTTCTTTGTACCCTCACCCTCTCTCATTATTGTTATTGTGATCTATACTCCCAATCTTTTATCTACATTGCCCATCTTTCCCAACTTTTCATTGCTCTGTGTTTCCTTCTCATTGCTTTCTAAGTTTTCACAAAGTACATTAATATAATATGTAACTGGAAATGTAATTACTATTTAAGATAGAGTCTTTTGCCCACTCTCTTCCCCAACTCCCACAACTGATCTCAAAGACTTATTCCTTGCAGGGCAACTATTAGTGTAATTTGGACATAAAATAATATACAAGTAAATCCATAGGAATAATTTCAAGGACAGTTGAACATTTAGTCATTTAAACTAATAATATTTTACACTGTAGGTAATCTTTTTTAATAATAGGTGCTTGTCAGTATCAATACTAATGTGATATAAAAGTGTTATCAATTAGTTAAGAATTTACATACACATGAATGGCTAGTAAGACAGCAGATACTCTGCATTTAACTTTAAAGTGGTCTATTTTGAGTAATACTAAATTTTTACAATATTTATTTTACTAAGGTGAAATTTTACATATTCATTAAACAATCAAATGGCATTTTTAAGCACCTATCCACTGCAAGGCACTGCAGTAGGCATCAGGGAGACAAAGACAGGGACAGCTAGGTGTTATAGTGGATAGAGCACCGGCCCCGAAGTCAGGAGGACCTGAATTCAAATCTGACCTCAGACCAAACACTTGACACTTACTAGCTGTATGACCCTGGGCAAGTCACTTAACCCCAACTGCCTAAAAATTAAAAAAAAAAATTCAAAAGGGAGACAAAGACAAAATGAAAGTCTCTGCCCTTCTGGAATGATGACCACAACTATATTATCAACAAGAAAACAAAACTAGAGGGAGAAAAAATTAATACATATCTGAAAGTGGGTCTAGAAGAAAAGCGGTTTTTTGCTTATTTGCTAATTCATTTGGTTTTATTTTAATGTTAAAATACTTAAGAGTTTTGATTTATGATTTTATTCCTTTATTTTGTGGGTTTACTTGATTTGTTTTCTTTATGGTTACTAAACTCAATTCAATAAATTTTAAAATCACTATGGATTTGGGGAGGAATGTGTAGCATCCCATTGTTCGAAACAGTTAGTATTATCACCTGTGAATAAGAGCATTTAGAAAACATCACCATAGAGAGTGCTCTGATTTGGACATTGTTCAGGACATCATCAACAAATACGGCAAATGCCATAAGTAAATAAGTATATGTCTCTCTGTTACATGCTTTCATGTTGATACTCAACAGATTATTGAATAAAAACTATGTCCATGGTTATGTCCAGGGTGTTGTGAGGCTCAAATGAGATAATGGATGTGAAACACTTTGCAAAACTTAAAGCACTATATAAATGCCAGCTATAATAATTATTATTATTAGCTTACAGTCACCAGGCCTCCAGTCTAGTGATGACTTCATTCCCTGAGCCTTCTACTGCTCTCCCACTGTGCTCAAACAATGTTTACAGAGCATTACAGGAGTGTGCTGGTAAATGTCTAACAACCAGGTTCTTCGGGGGGAAAAATGTGTGTGCACACACTTTTAAATTTAATCAGCCTTATTAACACTTTCTTAAATCTAGACAATCCACAAAACAATAAATCAAGCTCCAATTTCTTAGGTGTCAATGCTCACACTGAAAATATAAGCCCATCAGAGCTGGCTCCATGACACCCTTGGCCATATGTGTTGGTCTTACATGGTTTTAGCACATACCGGAAAGACACTTTATTTTAGGAAAATCCTTAAGGCTGCATCTTGTTCTACCAATCAAATGCTTTTTAAAAATAATCAACAAATAGTAGACCAAGTAAGCCCTTACAAATTCCATGTCTCTCAGTTAGTTATGTATATGGCCATAATGACTTACTTTAAGAAAATTGTCTCTTAACCTTTTCATATTTTCATCAATGATACCCTAAATGAATTCGTAGACTATTCTCATGAAAATTTTACATAAAGATGAAGAAGCAGGCAAAAGAAAAAGTTAGTATCTTCTCAGTTGTCTTTTTTGGTAAAAGGACCATCTTCTTGTTGGAGCTCATCTACACCATCAAATCTCTCCAAACTTCCCTATTTCTCCGGGTACCACCCTTCTGTCAGTCACCCAGGTTGGTAAGTTAGGAATCATCCTTTATTCTTTCCCTCTCCTTATCTTTTAAGGGGAGGAGCTGACATGCACATACATATATTTTGCTTGCCAATTTCCTTTTTAAGTTTTACTGATAACTTTTGTTTCTATAGTAGCCATTTCTAGATAGTGCTTCTCCCCACCTTCACTATGAGGTTTCCTTTTAACAAAGATAAGCAATTGGGTAAGACCAATTAACATAAGGACCACATCTGAGAGCACACACCACATTCTATACCTAAAATCTTCACCTCTTGAAGGAAAGGAAGGAAGTGCATTTTTTCATCTCTTTTCTGAGGCCAAGTTTGGTCATTTCAATTGCACAAAATTCATCTTTATTTCACTGTTATTTTTGCTCATATTATTGTAGATTCTATGTATATTG